AATAAAGTTGTTTTAGATTTAGACCCTTTAATAGTTTTAGTGTTACCATAGTTAGAACTTTCAAATACTTAATATACTAATGTACTTAAACTCCATCTATGTGTTATAGTATTGAGGCATGCAGAATCTCCAGTGCCCACTTTGATATTACAAATCAAACCATAGTACCAAGCTATGAATTGCAGAATTGGATTGAAAGTGACCTTGTTTACTATATTCTTATCTACCACGGTAGATAGTCAAACTTTAGGAATAAAGATCCAAAATATCAGATAACATGTGATTGTTAACATGTTTAGTTTACAAATGATTTCAGAGACACAAATATTAAAGATGCATGTAGGTAAAATCATTTTATATACCTTGCGATAAAACACTAAGCTATTTATCAGCTAAGAAATCAAATATAAAATCTACATCTCCTAGCTTTCGAGCACATATATTTTTAGATCTGTAATCTTGGATTTGATCACTATTTGCTTGTATTGTAGCCCATTTGGTGCATCCCTATGCGATAACCAGCAGCATATTTGCCCCGGCGGTGGTGGTGAGACAACAGTGTGCCTCCTCCATGCGTGAGACGTCCATCTGGCCTCTGCATAGGCATAGAGTCAAGTGTGCCTTTTGCCACCGTCGACGCCTCCCATGTCACCTGCAAAATATCTCAATTTCAGCAACTAGCATTTCCGCCCTAATCCGATCAATGGCTACCCCTCGTTCTTGTGTGATGTCCATTTATCTGATTGCTAGTAGGCTCGCTTCCTTTATAATAGGTGCCTCCTTGGAATTGCACTTTCTTTGGATTAAGAACTCAACTGTACAAGCTATCACTTGATTTTCCAAGACAACAGGTGTTGCTCACTTCCGACAATAAGGGCAATTACTAGAATCCTCCAAAGAACGCATGAATTGCCTTTTTAATGGGTAAACTGATACATTATAAATTATATCCTCCAAGACAACAGGGACTAATATCTAGGAATACGAAGAAACAAAATTGATCAGGCCAATACAAACCATTTATGTTCTATTCACAGTACGAAATTAAGCATTTCACAAATATTCAACAAAGATTATTGCTGTTGCAAGTCATCTTCTCTGTAAGTAATGTGTCGTTTCATAAAGTTCTCTCGGAATATTTTTTCCCTAAAATCTGATATGCAGGTGCATGCATCCTGTGCGGAACATGTCTGCTGTTCATTATAATCCTTCAAATAATACAATCCTGGGATTTGGGAAAATATAGAGTAAAAAGTTTAATGGGAAACAATCCATTTAAATGAAGGCTACATGTCTGAAAACTTGAGAACTAACCACGGAGTAACAAATTGTTTTGGATATTAATGCATTGGCTTATGAGCAAGGAAGCAAACCAATTGTCGATTCATATGTTTTCAGACCAAAATTCACCAGTTTATAAAAAAAGAAGAGGATTAAAAAATCATCCTGATTATTAGTGAGCAAGCAAACAAATATTGCTGCTAGTCTAAACTCTAAAGCGAGTGTGAGTGAACTCAAATTGCCAAGATCACACTGAATTTGGTTCCAGAGTCATGGTTGGCATTTTATCAAACACTTGCAAACAATCATTTTAGGGTAAAATATAATTTACACCCTCCAATTATCGCCAAAGTATAGATTTCAACCTCGAACTTCAAAACCGGATAACTTTGGTCCTCCAACTCTTGAAAAAGTTCAAATTTCAACCTTCTGGGGGGTTTTGCGTATGAACAGTACTTTTAATATTTTTAGGAGGCGTCGAAATTTTATATTATTTTTTAAGCATCTTAACGTCCTCAAATGAAAAAACTCAAAACTACAAAGTTGTAATAAAAAATATTTTCATTTAACTCCATACAAATAATATATTAGTGCTCTAATGCGGCAAGCGCTAGTTGGCAATTATTATGGTGCTGAAATTTTATATTATTTTTTCGAGCATCTTACTGTTCTCAAATGAAAAAAATCAAAACTACAAAGTTGTAGATCTCATCGAGGTTTACAATTTACATATAAAAATTATCTTCATTCACCAACGTATTGAAGGGTTTTTTATTTTTTGAAATTAGAGTCTCATCACGCATTTTGATATTCTAAGATAAATTTCATAATATTCTAAGATATATTAATCATATCAAATCATATTTTTAAAAATCATATTTTGATATTCTAAGATATATTATTTTCATTTAGTTTAAAAATATGATTTGATATTCTAAGATATATTAATCATATCAAATATATGTTCACTAGTAGATCTACTATGTTCACTGTGGAGTCCAACAAAATTGAATTTCTATTTTATGATTTTTCTATGATTTACTATGGTTTTTGAAAGATTCAACCAAAATAAATAAATAAGAAAAATACAAAACCGCCTTTGAAAACCACCTATAACCGGTCAGGGAGGTAAAACGAACAGTTTTAAAAGTTCAGGGAGGTGGTTTACCAGATTTTAGAGTTCTGGGAGAAAAACAGGCTTTTACAAAAATTGAGAAAGGTAATGTGGACTTTTTTCGTAGGATTATTTTGCCTGAAATGGCTGGGTATTTTTGGGCCAGCCCGCAAAATGCTATGGTCTAGAGGCTTTGTTTATAGACGTTGGGATTTCATGGGCTTCTCGGGCGAGCAAAACCTAGCCCCCGCCGCTCAAAGATGAGGGACTGGTTCTATACTGGGCCCGACGAGTGATAAGATGTCAACTGTAATTTCTCCACAGTTTATAGAATGGGGTGGATTCATATACCGGGTGGAGGCAAGAGAGAGACTGATAGAGAAAATATTTTTTTATTCCATATAACCTGGTTCTATGTATAGGAGCTGCTCCTATAACAACATTTATTGCATAGGTTCAGCATGGAACCTCCCATTGTGGAGGCCTCACAGGAATGCAGCGGTCAGAGAGGAATGGGTGGGAAGATGCGGTGCTCGGAGGATAAAAAAAAAGTGAGGAGGAGAAAAATAAGGCCTAAACGTAAGAATTTTACAATAATCACGTATAAATTATGCATGAATCAGTTTGTTTTTTTTAGAAAAACACGAGAAACGGACAAAAAAAACCCGCAATCCAAAGGAGGCTTAAAAGAATCTTATTGAACGACAAATAGACCCCAAAGGGGACTTAAAACTAAAAAGAGAGTTTTATTGAATGACAGATGGACCCTACATTTCAGATGAGATATCCCTCTTAGAGCGGAAGTCTTTTAAAACAAAAAAAAATGTGGACTTTCCAATAACTAGTTTTTAGGGTTAGGATTTTCTACTACTGCTAGAGATGTTCTTGTTGCTCCTAAAAAGTGTGGACAAATACAAATTTCCAATGTTTAGTGGTAGTACATATTACAGATGCTTTCAAGCATAACCGGGGTTGTATGTAGTACTACCTCTGTTCCTAAATTATAAGTCGTTTTGATTTTTTTTATATCTATTTTGCTATGCACCTAGATATAATAATATGTCTAGATACATAGTAAAATGAATGAAAAAAAAAATCAAAATGACTTATAATTTAGAATGGAGGAATATCATATAAACAAAAGAATGGCCAAAACATGGATGTATTTAGCATAACATAAGGATGGCAATTGGGTCACAGGACATATGCTTATGAAAAGGGCCCTATAATTAGATGAATATTATCACTGGACTCAGCAACCATTGGTCACTACAGTAACTAAGACCTTATCTGCTAGTGAAGAATTATGTTAGCAGTTTAGCATTAATATACAAGGGCAAGGGACCCCAGCTGTACAAAAACTGAAACGGGTAGGACTACCAAAACACCTTGCTGAAAGCTCTTCTAACCATAAGAGCAATGCTAAAAGATTGGAGAGTCAAATGTGACATTATAATCTGAGCAGGATACATCTTATCTTAGAGATAAAACAAAAATCAAGGGGGCACTTATATATGATTTATGGAGCATCAACAACTTTGGAGGCTGAAAGGTGCAGTTTAAAACAAACTGGGTCGAGTCAAAGACCAAAAAAATAAAAAATAAAAAAGAGGTTGCGATAGGGCGATAGGCATCATGGCCGCACACGAGCATTTGGTACTCACTGTACAGCCAATAACACTGCTTGTTCACATCACAGATACAGAGCTGAACACAACATTTGGTACTCAATAAGCCTGCAGCAGAACGAAGAGTTGATATGTGTCCTACCAATCCACTGTTGATTCTGTTCCAAGTAATACAGGGCCCTAGTTTAAAAAAAAAGGTAATCCAGCATCCTAATGGTACCAGTTCAGTTTCACGGCCTACAATATCTGGTTTCCCTGTTATCAAAAAAAAAATCTGGTTCCCCACTTGACGGCAGAAAACTTTCCAAGCATCCACTGATAGGTCTAACACGCTTTGATGATTCCTTATCTTTTCACTCCATCAGACAAAACCTGGAATGGTCAAGTTTAAAGACTTTATTCACTGCTACCAAACAAGAAATATAATAATAATACTAAAGTTAGCTTTTGGTAATGTCCTGCTATTTGTCGTTCAAATATGGGGCTATGGGCAGAGTGCATTTTAGAGAGTTTCAACAAAACCATTAGCAAGGTTAGAGACTGGAATATCTCATTGGCTTAGGGGATCTGAATGACATTGACAGGAAATCATTATGGATCATGTGCCCATAGTTGAGGTACAGAAGGGCTTTTCCTTCAAGAGTTCAAGATTTTCCCACTCGATTTGTTTCTACAGATAATCCAGTGTTCACAAGAATTATCTAAGAAACAAGTGATTTGAATCCAGTAATGGGTGCTATCAGTCTACCATATGCACAAAGTTTAACTATTCGAGGCAACAGCCAACAGAATATAGTAGATAATCATGTTCGTCTATCTCAAAGACAAAAGACAGCACGTGTCACTCAAAAAGGATATGAATGGCAGGTATGGCTAATGAGATATTCCGTAGTTTTTCAGGGTTAAGAAGACTAATTTAAATATGGTAAATAATTAGTAGAGTGCCTACCCAGTCTCTCGTGTACATCAAGTGGCACTTAGCCATTCAAACTTGCATTCTCTTTCTCCATCTCAACAATACAAGCTAGTCTATCATGGACCTGTCAAGGACATGTTGCCAGTTTAGGTTCATAGCAAAACATTCATCATAAAAAACTAGACAGTCTCTCACCTCTGAAAGTTTTTGTGCAGCTTCTTGTTTGAACTTCTCGTCATACCTAAAACAATATAAACATTAATCTCCTATAGATGTGAATGCCTGAAGACTTATGTGTGCTAATCAGAAATTACCATTCACGGGGTATACCAGCTTCATCACGAGCCGGATAGTTGAATGGACCCTTCAGTACAACGTCGTACTCCTTTATCAAGTCTATAATGTTGAAGTGAACATTCCATTAGCCAGCATGATCTTTTATAAGCATATATCGCAGTCTACACAATTAGGAGATGGGCAAACCTTTAAAAGTATCACCCGGTTCACGACCCATCATTTGGCATACTTTGAGAAACCAATACAAACCTACAGAAACATGTGCAAGCTCTTCCTCTGCTACTCGTGCCACAATGTCTGCAGATCGATGGTCCCCAAAACCAAATAACCTTTGCACTAATCTTGGTCCAGCATCAAGGCCTCTGGCTTCCTATCAAGGTTCTAATAATCAACATATTGGTCAATTATAACAATGTAAACTTCTTTCAGCAAGCATTCTCACCTAAAACATGGAACCTACACCTACTAGGTGAAGACTGAAGACTATTAAGTTCAACTACAAAAATTAAAGCATATACACAGGACAAGCATCACACAGAAGGAAGTGGCAGTGATGTTGGCACCTGGACCAAAGGAATCACTGCCAATCGTGCAGAAACGTCACTTGAGGACTTTGCACACTCCCTCCACAGAAGATTGTGAACAGGCATATCACCATAACTGTCCAGAAAGTACGATGATCACTGTGAGTATTATCAGTAGATAGTTGATTCCTTCGTCTGACCAAGTGACAGATGAATACATGATAGTACAAACATTCATACAATGGAATCGAAGAAGCAAGTAGCTGGTGCTGCATCTTTTGCGCCACTAACCTGAACCCGAGCTCCGCGAGCCGCTGCGAGTACCACCGAAAATGTCGGCTCTCGTCATCGGCCACACGCGCGAAATCCGCGAAGAACCCGTCCCCTAGCGTATCCCTGAGCGGCGCGAACCGCACGACGGTGTCCCACGCGAGGTCGATGGCGTTGAGCTCGACGTGCGCCAGGTTGTGCAGCATGTACGCGTTGAGTGGCACTCCCATCTCCTTGTGCGTGGTAATCTCCTTCTGCGTCACCTGCACAGGAGAGCAGCAACGCCCAGTCATCCACCACCTCCTGCTCGACGAAACGCCTCAACCAAGAGGTGAAGAGGAGGATCCGAGGAGGTGCACGAGCAGCGCGAGAGGGTTTACCACGAGGGGCTTATCGGGCCTAGCGGGGTGGTCGGGCGCCGTCGCCTGGCCGACGGGGAGCCCGGCGGCCCACCGGGAGAAGGCAGCGTGGGTGAGCCGCGCCTTGGCGAGGGGATCGGCGGTGGACAGCACGAGCGCCCCCATCTCCGCCAGCGACGAGCCCGCGCCGGCGTCAGCCGCCGACTCATCGACGTCGGAGGCGCAGGGACCGTTCGGGCCCCACGTGCGGAGGTCGCTGGGCGGCGCCCGGCGCCAGGCGTGGAGGCCTGGCCATGGAAGCGGCGAAGCGGCGGCGGAGGAGGATGCCGCGGCCGATAGCAGACGGCGGGGTGAGGGACCGCGTGGCAGTGGGAGCAACGGTAGGCGGCGGAGCGGGTGCATTTGGCCGGAGCCGGGATAACGCGATGCGTTCGCGTTCGCGTCCACCGAAGGGTGGAAGAGGCCACGGAACAAACGAAGCACATTGGCCTGCTTGGGGGAATTTCACGAGAAATATGACACTCGACCCTCTTGGACGTGAGAGTTTCATCCTGGAAAAAATAGGAGTTCCTACTTGGGATGCTTTCTTTATAGCAAGAAGCCAATAGATCACCATTCAAACTATCAGATGCTTCTCCTTCACCATTGCAACAGCAAGGTGCACTACTGTACCTCAGCCGCTAGGGTACTGACTTGATTCCTAATACCGATCACAAACTACAGAGATCAGATGGACTCCAGTTGAAAAGTTGGAACACATGAGCAGCTCAATTAGAAGAGGCAGGGCAACAAGAGAGGAAGATCAATGGCAATGCAAACCTTTTTTTTTTTAAAAAAACTAATGCTGATGCAAACACCAACAGAAAATTACATGACTATAGCAATTGTACAATCTTACAACAGGGCGAGGCCTCCAGGTTCCTGGTCTTCACCTCACCGCTTGTTTCACTGCCCCAGTTTTCAGGTTTCCTCCTATCCAATTCCAATGTTGAGGTAACTTCCAGCTCGACGACTAGGTAAACATGGCACTCTACAGTAAGTACACAACTGCAGATAGTTGTACAGGTGAATTGGTGCATTTGCTATCTCGGGCATCCACTTTGTGCACAAAACGACAAACAGCATGGCACTGGTTAGAGTTCCTACATGACCAAAATTTACAACAATCTCTGGCCCGACAATTTCATGCTAGAATCCTTTGTTGAACTAAGTTGTTATGGCCTTTCCAGTGCCCCATCAACATCTGCATAGAAGGAAGTTTTACATGTCAGATTCGTCATTCATGATTGTGTGATCATGAAACTAGTTATAATTTAATCAGTTTATTCCATACCAAGATTTGCTAAAAACTTGCTTTAAGAGCAACAAACTTTTATGTAAAATGAGTAGTGAAACAACCTTCCTGGGCAATAAAAAATACCTAAAATAATAACTATAAATGACAAAAAAAAAAGCAAGTAAGGCATAAGCGCCTAGCAATAACACTAGTAAATAGAACAAATTCCAGTCACTTAAACTTAGTGCAGCTTGTGGTAATGTATCAAATCAAGCAATCTATGCTACATTTGGCTTCAGATCTGCACCCCATTATGTATAACAAACTAGTCAACGACTAAAATTGCTTAACTTATTCTAATTCACCAAGGCTCTGGAGGACCTGGTCTAAGCCTCCAGGGTAGGGGGCAGGATAAGACAATCAAGCACCTCAGTAAGTTTAAGAAAAGGTTAAGAAAATAAAGAGGAGAAAGTCAGCTATATGTTTACAACTTAACCTTTATGATAATTTGACTAGTGTGGGATTTGAACACGGCAAATTTTCAGGAAAAGTTATATTTTCAAATGATCCACGAAACAAGTGCAGAAAACAATTATCTGAACTGGAGAACTTCCTTCAATGGGCAAAAATATTAGTAAATAGCAGTTCTCCATGGGCTAGGCGGCTAGCCCAGCATGACTACATATAAATAGATGATGAAAGGGTAGTATCAGATACACAAGAGTATTATTGATACACATGTGCACAAACTCAATCTCACCCCTCAAATTCAATCTGAATGGCTCAGGTGGGAGGTACAAATCTCCTCATCCCTCTTGGGCTGTCTTAAGTCCAATTAGATATGGTCCACTTAAAAAGTGAACAAGGTGGATAAGAGGGGTGAGATTAAGTTTGCGCACATGTGCGCCGACCGCCGATACACTATCGCACACCTGATACTTCCTCGATGATGAAAATGGGAAATGATACCAAGCAAACCTACTTGAAATCCACAAAAGGAAGTAGCTGGTATAAACTTTAATTAACTACGATAAGACTACCTCCCTCTCAGTTTTCCAAATATAGTTAGAATTTGAATTTGAATAACAAACAACCAGCTCAGCGTACGCCAAAAAACAGCAGCTATACAATTGATCACTCTGTTGCTTGAATTCTGAGGGATAGTAGCACCAATCAATGATACGTTTATTCCTAATACTAATTTGGTGCTATACCTAAATCTAGAGCCAGATAGATGCAGAGATATCAATACCAAAAACCTGGCTAGCAAGAAGAAAAGGCAAAGAGAAAATCAGTTTGGATCGTAAGTCTAGTAAATGTCAGCTCAACACAAAGTGGGCAGCTAGAGCCTAGAGTACTCAGTACTCACTATAAAACAAAGACAAAGATGCGCCAAAAAAAATTATACACAAGGTGCTAATATAGTTTCAAAGAACAATGGTATCACTTGGCATCTGGTCAAATTTATATGCCTGGTTCAAAATAGAAGCTTCTAGGTGTAATTAAATTTAAGAAGTATGAATTATAAAAGATGAGCAGTATCAGAGCATGTACAGAAGTTCATCATTTTGAACATTTTGAGTTTCGAACAGTTAGGTTCATAACATTAGACTAATCAAATATATTACGAATTAACAGGACAACATTAAACTAGCATATATCTACAGACAATGTGTCACTTCAAATATGAGCATGTGACACTAAATATGCAAGAAAATGAGCAGTTGACACCCAATATCCACTGTTTTGGACTATATATGCAAGGAAAAACATAAATAACTGTGCTATGCCATTCATGTGAACACTTGGACAACCATTTATAATTTATCTAGAGAATATCTCTAATCCTTATCCTAAAAAATGTTTCTGTAACCAACAAATATACTTTCTAATGAGTTTGGAAAACTACTGTGTGTCATTTTAAGATTGCAGTAGTAAAAGCCTCATCACATTAAATCATGCGAACAGAGACTCTAGTCAAAACCATAGTTACTTTATTCAGTAGATCAAAGTCACAGATTATAGCAATTATAAGCACTCCTTGATTTTACTTACAAGCCAACAACAGAGGTTATTCTTTCATGTGCCCTAGTCAGAACAACCAAGCAAGTCACCACCAAGACTACACATTTATTTCTTACCCATGTTCTGTGCAAAGAACTAGAGGACGAAGCCAATGAGTTACATTTTCGCTAGTGTATATATAAACTTATACAAAGGCATAAGGTATCACATTGGTCTTCCGAATTCCAATTTTTTGAAAAAGCTTATGCAGCTAGAAAAAGGGATAAATTATTAAGATTCATGGGTGAGCAAAATACAATACGTGAGCCAGAAGATGAATTTGGCTTGCTCATGTGAGCTTAACAACCAGAAACATTACCATCCTCTGTAAGTCAGACAAGAAAGTTACACCCAAAAGCTTTCTAGAAAAAGCAAGGAACTAATTAAGCTAGTTCCATAAAGGACATGATTTTTTTCTCTGCGCACTTGGTAGTTATAGTGGTTTGCAAATCCAAAAAAAGGTTATCTGATTTTGAAGAATTTACCAAAGTTATTGGACATTAAATGCAAATGATTGCTGCGTTAATGCAGAATATACCTGGCCTATAGATGCTACGTTCTGGGTGATTGTGCAGCATCAGAACCATCTGCTGATGAACTATCTGAGTCCGTATCTGCAAATGTTTCTTAAGGTAAATTCATGTGTTCTCCAAATACTTCCAAACCAAACGATTATAAAAGAAAAATACAGAATCCAAAAGTTTTCTTGTTACAATATCTTAAAATAATAGAACATTTACCACTAGAGGATGACCCCGAGTCACTGCTAGAGCTTCCAGAACTACTTGATCTACCAGTATTCTCTCCCTTCTGATCTTCCAAATGACCAGGTGATGATTCACCCACAAATCTCTCATTGTCATCTGTAGTAGAGTAAAGTTAGTTGGTTTTTCACAGTGATAATGGATTGTAATAAAAAGCGACTGTTGCATTATAAGAATGACTATAATGAGACATTTGTTCTTTTCTTAAACAGAAAATGACGAATATAGCAATCATAACAATGGTCTAAAGACACACTACTGGCCCACCTGCTGCATTGTCCTTAGGTGGCTCAACATCAACTGCTTCTGGTTCTGGAATCTGTAACCGAAAGACAACAGTAAGAACCGCACGTGCTATATTCCATAAAATTTAGTGATGGCACTGAATACTATCAACCATAGTCATACCGGCTCTTGTACTGCAGGAATTTGATCCTGATCTGCCTCGTCCTGCCTCACATGTTCTACCTTCTCCGGCTCCTGATCAGGATCAGCTTCATCTGGCCTTACCGCAGAAAGCTCAAGCTCAGCCTTCCGCTTATTCTTAGTTATACTCTTCCGATAGTTTGTCACAAATCTATCAAGCTCCCATAATGTTTCAACATCAAAGCTATCGATATCAACCTCAATCTCATCGTCATGCTGGCTGAGTGACAAGTTCCTCTTCTTTATGATCTGAACAACATTGTCTAGCTTCTCCGGAGGCAAATCCTGGAGGTTATTGCTAAGCCGCTGCTTCTCCCAGAATGTCATATCCCTCTTATTGGGCTCCCTTGCCTTGGGCTTCTTTAAAACTGGGGGTCTGCCAGTGTGTGTCTTCGGGGTAGCCTCCATCCCTGCAGCATGAACTGTCGAATCCGACCCCTCTAATACCCTAGAATTATCTATCTCCTTTGGCTTCCTGGGTGCTGCTGAGGATGGTGTCGGAGGCTGTGGGGATAGCTGAGCTACTTCAGCCTCAATCTCTGGCCACTTCTCCTCAAACATGTTCAGCAGCTGCTCGGCCATGAAGTGCACATCCTGCCCCTTGGGGTTGTACGTCATGGCATTCTGGAACGTCAGACGCACATCACCTGCGAATTCCCGTGGTGACTTGTACTGTCCGGCCCCTAGCTTTGACTTGACTGTGCCGAGGTCCATGGGCTTGGTGATGATTGTATGGTAGTCGTGCAGGCCAAGAGCGCTCGCATCTACCGGCCTGTTGAACACCCAGCTGTGCTTGTGCTTCATCAGCCTCTGGAGCAGCGCGGAGCAGGTCTTGAACACGGGCGCGTAGAGCTTGCGCCGCGCCTCCGCCGAGAGGTGCGGGTGCGGGTGCGGGTGCGGGGCACCCCCGCCCTTCTTGGACTTGTGCTTGGACGCCGGCGGGTGCGGCGGGAGCGGCGTGGAGGGGTCGGTGGCGGAGAGCGCCGAGGAGGGGGCGGGAGCCGAGAGGGAGTTCAGGCGCTTGGCGGCGGCGCGCACCTGGGAGAGCTCGGCGGAGAGGCGGCGGCGCAGCTCCCGGCGGGAGGCGGTCGTGGAGGGCAGCGAGAAGGTGACGGTGGGGAGGAGCGGGCCGTTGTGGGCGTCGAAGGAGGGGACGCTGGGAGCCTTGGAGCTAGCGTGAGATTTGCGCGAGTAGGGTTTACCGGACGGCGAGGGCGGCCCGGCCATTCTGGGCGGGTCAACGGCTGCGGCGGATCGAGGACGGCGGCGGATCGGAGGCGGGGATTTGGGGATTTGGGGCGGAGGCGGCGGAACAGGGAGGGGTTCGGTGTGGTGGTGGTGGTGGGGGCAAGGCAGGCAGCTGCTATGCTAGTACTGTGCAAGTGCAGGAGAGAGAGGATCAATTTTTTCCTTTTCCTTGCTCTGTTCTCCCGAGGATCAATTTTGCCGGGCCGCCCCCCCTGTTCCTCTCTTTTCCATTGCTGGTAAAAAATTATTGATCCTGATTCCTTTTATTTGAACCTGTTAGGAATCTAGATTGTACTAGGGGTAGATCGGGGCTACTCGTATTGGATGAACTAAAACTTAGAACACGTTCTAGACAGAGACACATGGACACAGAGAGGATGGACAAGGGCTGTCGAACCTAACACCGTAGAGGGGGAGGGTTCAGAGGACGCCATCACGTTCGTCGGTGTAGTCTGCGCACGGGCAGTGACGGTCGGTGAAGAGGGCGATGAAGATGTCGACGTCGATGGAGCGGGCGGCATGGCTGGTGGCTTCCCGTCACTAGTTGCGCCCCTCTCTGATCAGATTAGTGTTTAGGTGTCGATGGGGAGCTCGGCTCAGGCGAACCTCGTGACTTGAGCCGCCAGCCCCCACCTCTATTTATTGCGTAGTGTGACAGAGGCTCTCCAGCCATAGTGGGCTGGGCGCCCCCGATCAGAGCGCGGATCAAAGGCCCAACTAGGCCGTTGGGCCCAATTTGGGATTGAGATCAATCTAACATAACCTAGTATAACATTATACCCTCCCGGATTTAGAATACAAGTCTATAAGGACATCTTCAATAGGGTCTATACATTGAAGCTTTGGCTAGGAATTTCTTCTATGGACTATATAGGACATTTCAGGAAATAAATAGATATTTTAAGTGGATCCAGTTGCATCTGTTGTACCACATTGTCAATATATGTAATAACTTTCCTAATGTTAGTAGTTAAAAAAAAGTTTAGCTTTCATGAATCCTAAAATAATACATATTTTGGGCCCGAATGATGTATAACAACAAAGATTTTGTTCTAGGTTATATATAGTCTTTTCGTTTTAAGTTGTAAGTCATTCTGGTTTTAGTTTTTATTGTGTATCTAGACATAATGTATAGCTAGCTATGTGGCAAAAACTCTATACATAGAAAAGTCAGAACAACTTACGATTTAGGATGAAGAGATAACATTTTTGGCGAGCGTGTACAACCGATTGAAAACATCATAGATGAAAAACACTCTTGTTAATCATGACATGGTTGCGAGAATCAATTACTTACGATAAAAGTTAGGTACTAATTGAATAGGTTTACGCCAAATGTTACACCGTTTTCACTCAAAAAAACTAACGCATTTAAAGAAAATGCTATCGATACAATAACGCATCACTCAACATGTGTGCTAGCGTGCCACCACACCCCTGTGTCTATCACTAACGCGCACGTGGTGGCAACGCACACGTGATCTTTTTACTACCCTAGGGGACTCTTCCAAGCCCTAATAATGCTATAATAACGAAAGAGCTTCGCGACAAAATATTGAAACTAGTGTTCAATACCTCTAAGAGTTTCTTAACATGTATCCAAATGATATAAATAGTATATAAGAGAAAATAGTGCTATATAAGCTTCCAATCATTGGAAACTGGATTAGAGGTGTCTAAATCTAGATGTAATGTTTGGAAAAATTCTATTGTTGTTTCACCGACATTTTATCCGCTCTGTGTTTTTTTTTTGGAAAACATATGCACCTCATCTTCTCTCTTTCAAAATAGCCCCACATGTATAAAACTTCCACACATTTCAAACCAAACCAAAAGGTGGTCAAGGGAATTGAATAAATCACTGATGGGGTGGCTACATGTGAATCTCGAACAACAATTGTTATCTTTTTGGAAAAGATTTTCTTTTCATTGTTTCTGAAAAGAAGAAGGCCTCGTTCGTTTTGGCTGCCCGTTCATCCGCTCTGTGTTTTTTTTTTTGGAAAACATATGCACCTCATCTTCTCTCTTTCAAAAATAGCCCCTCACATGTATAAAACTTCCACACATTTCAAACCAAACCAAAAGGTGGTCAAGGGAATTGAATAAATCACTGATGGGGTGGCTACATGTGAATCTCGAACAACAACTGTTATATTTTTGGAAAAGATTTTCTTTTCATTGTTTCTGAAAAGAAGAAGGCCTCGTTCGTTTTGGCTGCCCGTTCTAGGTGGATCAGGCGGACTCGGAATAATTCCTGGCGTTTTCCCTGTCTCATTTCATAGGATTAGGGTCTGACTGAAAAATAAGTTAAAATACTGTTCTGACGGATTGTTGTGAGAGAAAAATAATGTTCTGTCTAAGAACACTGCTTACGTAAACAGTAAAGTGTGAGTGCGCTGGCCAGCCGGCCTTCTACCCTCGGGAAGAAAAACAGTCCCATTTTCAGTATGCTGACCAGGTTTTAGTGAACCACTAGGATCCACTCAATCCAGCCATGAAGAGAACACAAGAGTTGGATTGGATCGCTGTTGTGTTAAAAAGTCGGAGACTCAGGATAACGACGTGCCTGCTGGAGGCTAGTCAAATTTGTAAATTCGTCATGAAGACTTCGCGAGCTCACCCAAGATTCCCGTCTGATCCGGATCACGGACGGCCAGTCGGCCACCAAACCTGCCCCCAGAGTCCAGATGACGAGGTAGCCCAGCCGCCACTGCAGTACTGCACTGCCAGTCCCCTCCCAGAGCCTCTCCAATAAAACTGCATCAGAAGTGAAGCGCCCCGTGCTCACTGCTCGCAGTCCTGCTCTCGGATCTGGCGGCGGAGGTCGTCGGCCCAGTACTCCAGTCACAGTCAGCGAGCGAACGAGCCCTCGCGGCAGATTCCCCGATCCGAGCAAAGCAACCTGACATGAGGCCGCGGCTGGTGCTCTTCGGCGACTCCATCACGAGCAGTCCTTCGCGTCCGGCGGATGGGGCGCCGCGCTCACCGACCGCTTCGCCCGCCAGGTACGTGCCGTGCGCGCTCCTCCATGGGCCCTGGCGCCGCCGGTCACACGTGATGGTTGAGCGTGGGCGTGGCCTTGATCTGGCGAATTCCTGATCTGGCTGCGTCTGGGCTTTTGGTCAGGCGGACGTCGTGCTGCGCGGGCTCAGCGGCTACAACACGCGGTGGGCGCTCAAGGTGCTGCCGCGTGCCATGGAGGGCGCGGCCCCGGCGGCCGTGACCGTCTTCTTCGGCGCCAACGACGCCTCGCTGCCCAACCAGGTGCAGGCGCACCAGCACGTGCCGCTCCAGGAGTACCAGAGCAACCTCCGCGCCATCTGCGCCTACTTCAAGGTTATGGTTATATATAAATTGTGGCCTACACTTCATGCGATTCTCGGATTCGGATATGTTGGATTGGATTCCTCTCTCATCTATCTGTCGTTTGGTTTTTCGATCGACAGGAGCGATGGCCCTCCACTGCTATCATACTCATCACTCCCCCACCGATCTATGAACCAGCGCGAATCCGGTAAACAAATAGATCCACTCTGAAGATACTACTACAAATCAAATCAATCCACCGCTATCATACTTTATTCGCTCTACTGATCTTAGCTTTCTGAGGGGAATCTGGTGGCCGATCATAGCACAATCAAGTCATTGGTTGGGTGCCTTGCACATGCTGGCCCCCATCTTGTTTTCCTTTTGCTGTAACGCATATATGCCATGCCTGCTTTGCGGTCATGGCATGCAAGTAGTATGATACTAATTTCTACTATCTGCAGTTTGCCAGTTAGAAAGTGAATTGCATCCATGCACACTGCTGCTTTCAGTAAAGTCAGAAAAGTCGTCAGCATTTAGATCCACACTGACACTGCTGCATAACTTTATGAAGAGAATCTATCAGCAACTGCAGATAATTTTATGAGACCAGGGGATGCCTTTATTGCCATTTTAGTTGCTATGAACATATGACATTCATGTTTTTTTTTAATTTATATGACATTCATGTTACTTCTCATAACACTATATGTCACTATGTCATAGCCCTGTCTGTATATGCTAATATCGATGCACATATATTGAGGGGAGGAAAAAACGGGAAATACTGAATTACATAAGCGGCAAGCCCATAGTAGCAGTTTGATTCAGTAAAGTTTAAACAAAGTGGCCGAGAACATTGTACATATTGAGAGAGTCAACATGCTTATTTTGGACCTCCAAGCAAGAGTGTTTTTTGCAAGCTTTGCAAGCTTTTTATAGCCGCACATATTTTTCCCTAGAGTCCATGAGATAGGATTCCCTGAATGCTACATATTTTCCATTCAATTTATGTGCATTCTAGAATGCTGGAACCTATTGACTTTTTCAAGCATCGAGTGCAAATTGCACTTTTCACTAAAGTATTTATCTCTGTGTTTCTGGACATGTCCAGCGATCTGATTACCTTGCCTGACCTAATCACTTCTTCAATCATCCCCTGCAAATTGCACTTTTCACAAAAGTTGTTTTTTGCTCAAGAAAAAAAAAACTAAAGTAGTTTTCAAGCCAGCCACACTGATTGTCCTTGACCCCTTATGCAGAGACATGTATGGAGATGACGACCCTTCACGCCAACCAGAAAGAAGCAACGAGGCTGCTGGCGCTTATGCACAGGCATGCATAGCTGTTGCCACAGAATTGAATCATCCAGTTATAGACATCTGGACGAAGATGCAGGAATTTCCAGATTGGCAAACTGATGCATTGAGGTAAGCATATATTTCGATTACCTCTGTGATCAATGCAAGATCCAGATGCACTAAATGAGCAGTAGTTATTTTTGTACCCTTACATTGTGTTATCAGCTGCCTACCTCGCTGGTTCTGGAATAGTCAATCAGGTAATGTTTAGTTGCACATAAAAGCTTGTCAACAATGGGTACCTGGGTAGGTTGTTACCTAGAAACTATGTGACTCCCATAAGTTGAGTGAAGATGTCGTATTTTCATGTGTACATCCGAGACAATAAGAAAAAGGATAGATAGAAGGTCGTTGAACGTGATTCTCTGTTGTGCAGATTATTTGTCCCACTGCTAGAGTTCAAGCACAACGACCTCAAAGTGGTACTAGGGTCAAGTAAAATTATTTTTTGAGATGCAGAACCTTGTTTTTCTAGAGCTTCTGCTGTGTCAAATAAAATTCTGCATATTCAGATGGATAGAACACACATAGTTTGCCCTTTTTTGTGTCTAGTTTTTAAACTGTTTACATTTCTTTCCCACATAGCACATTGTGCACTGAATATTTCCAATATGCTACATGGATGGGGATTGGGGGAAGGAGGCAAGGAGCTTATGTATATTTTTATTTTTTTCCGTTGGACGTTGATACGACTTGCTAAGATCAGTAGGCTTTGTTCTTGTAACACTGTTTGGAAAGTTGTAGAAGGAAACTTTCAGAATGTAGTTCAGTTGATTTTCCTTCAGATTGATGTTATGTACACGGTAGCATGTGGACGATCACTGGCCAGTAGCCCAGTACATTACTACTTGTAGAGCTTTCTCCATCGTAGGCTTCATGCACTGGTGTTTTTGTTTCTGTAACGAATGTTGTGTTTCTAATATTTTTCCCTGCAAAATTACTGTGGTTCTAAATTGGTAACGAATGCATTATAACAGTCCTGATTAGTGTAAGCCTGGGATAACATTTTGATGCCACGATGCAGCGACGGGCTCCACTTCACGCCGGCAGGAAACAAGATCCTGTTCGACGAGGTGGTGAAGACGCTGGCGAGCATCGGTTTCAGCCAGGAGAGGCTCCCGTCCGACCTCCCCCTGTTCCACGAGATCGACCCCAAGGACCCCATGAAAGCCTTCGGAGCTTGAAGACGACGCCACTGCGCACGATTGGATCAGCGATGTTTTGCTCGATCGTGTCAAGTGACGTGCCCCACTCGGTGTGTGGTGCTGCGTGCGTGTACGACTTTTCCTTGTGGAGATAGATGCTTTTTTTTCCTCCTTGTTTCTTTTTTTCGTACAACTAAAAAGAAAAAAGTGTGGATATTTTTTTACGATATTTGTTTTGGTTCGTTCGTCTGCCTACGCTTGCACGATCCCACAACATCTCCCACATGTATAATTCTCCTTGATTAAATATTGCCTGTCATGTGATAGAGCAATCACGGCAAAATAAAAAGTAAAAATTATTGTGCTATCCATATATACATTGCATGTTTGCATGTATCAGCATACATGGCAACAAGTAAAAGGAAAGAGAATTAACACAGAAGAAAAGAGAATTAAGATAAAAGGAACCTCTTTGCATCTCTAAGAACCTTCCTAAATCTATCTACATTTAATTACTTCCCCTCTGCATTTGCAAAAGGGACAATTTTTTCTCCTTTTATTTGATTTCACGTTCACGTGTTCGATCGCCCTCGCTTGCCGTTTCTTGTCGAAATTGCCCTTGGGTCGGTTCATTTTGAATCCTTTCCTCATATCCTCGTTCCCCAATCCATTGTCCATCACGACAGTAGACACCAGACACCATTTCTTGCGTGAACCATAGTTGATGTCATATGTCTTTCATGGCTCAGCCTCTCAATCCCAAGAGAATGTCCCTATCTCTCTGACTGGAGATCCAGCCTGCCAGAGAATCTCCTCGAGTCCATCGGGCAGCGTCTCGCGTCAGGCCACGACGCGGCATCCTTCCGATCCGCTTGCTACGGGACAACTAAATCTTTTGTACTAAAAACACATGGATCGCATGATAAGATAACAATACTGTTAAATTAAATACCGACGTTAAAGTGACATTTAATTCAAAAAACAAAGTTCGTGAAATTAACATAGTCACAGAGAACGCGGCGTCGCAGGCTCACAAACTCTACTGAATAGACTTTTACATGATATGGCTAAGATAATATTTTATATCGGCAGAAAGAATTCTCCTATATCCATTTCTTTCATGCGCCAATAAATCAATAAATAAGTTTCGTTATATCTCCATATAATCATGTACATACAGTTTGAATATCTATGTAAATATTAGTGTCTGTCACATGAATAATACTGCGTGTCTTAAAAAATCTCTCATAAAATTTTAAAACAAAGTATGTTATACTCACCGTATAAATATGTGTAGCTTTAGGACTATTCCACATAGACATATATTGTAGAATAATGTATCCACTTGAGTGTCTGTTTTAAGATGTTGAATTAGGTGTTGTAATTCTTAATTTCGACACATTTTTCAGGTCAAAGCAACTAATGGTGACACTTTTCTTAGTGGTGCATAATTTTATGGTGCACATCTTGACTATCTGAGTAAAGATAAATTAGCACTGCAAAGGCTCAGAAAAGCTGCTGAGAAGGCCAAGATTGAGTTTTCCTCCACTATGCATACTAAAATTTATGTCCCCGTTTATCATTGTCGATGCTTTTGATGCAAAGCAATTCAACATTACAATGATCAGATATAAGTTTGAGTTTCTTGTGAGCAATCTCATAGAGGGACTCTCATCCTTTATGTGATCTACCTCAAGGATATTGGCAGGACGATTGGATCCATATTAGAATATCGCACCAAAAAATGTCCACATTTTGTCCACGATTTATTTCTCATGAATACATGCGGGTACTATGATAACACTAACTACACCAAATGAAAGATTAGAGAGAATTTGCATTACCTTCTAGAATGATTTATTTATTAAGTTCTTTGGACTCTATAGGTAGTTTTGAAATATCTGTTTGCATGTCTTACCTCGTATCCTAATTTAAAATTTTATAGTTTAATTAGAATATTTAGGTGATTGTATATATATAATATTCAATACAAGAATAATATATGCATGATCTTCTTGAAAGATTTGTGCAGTGTAAAGACATCTTCGTTTTTCATGCATGCACATGCTAACGCAATGATAAAAACAAAAGGACAATATATCAATTAAAAAATAAAAACAAAACTCATGCTCAAAGTCAAAGAGATAAATTCTGGATGCTTGAATTTTGTCATCCATTATCTACCGCCGTGCCTATAAAATAGACTGAATAAACAATTAAACATAGATAGAAAACTAAATTAATGAAATGATCATTGCAAGACATCAATCATCTCATAGCTTTGGACAATATCGTAAAGCTACTAAAAACTGTAACCGTGCCCTCACCTCAAACATTGTCCAGATAAATGGATTACAATGAAAGAAATGAATATCGGAGATTTCTTCCTACCAATATAAAACATTATCTTAGCCGCATCACGGAAATGTTTATAAAGTAGAGTTTATGAGCCTGACGACGCCGCGCACTCCATGACTGTGTTAAATTCATAAACTTTGCTTTTTGGATTAAATGTTACTTTAACGTTGATATTTAATTTTTACAGTATTGTTATCTTATCATGCGATCTATGTGTTTTTAGTATAAATTGTTAGTTATCCCGTAGCAACGCATGGGCACGCTACCTAGTCTTCTTATTAAGAGCGTGGAGTTCGGCCGTTTCTCAGGCCATCCACGCCATCAAAATCATTTTAGTCCGTATGATTGAGTTTTCTGTCGTTGATTTGTTACCGCGTGTCCTTTGATTTGTTACCGTGCCTCTTGTTTCTGTATTGTGGGCCCCTGCACGCGCTTCGCTCTCATGGGGCTTTTACATTTTTACCATTATTAAGATTGGCGTTCATCCGATTATCACTCTTAGAATGGCACCTACAACTTTAGCATATGAGAGAAGTTTGAGTTTCTAATTTACCATATTTGCGCATGTGGCAAGCCACGACAGCCCGACACGCTGGAGCCCAGTCAGCAGGCGTGGGTAAAATGTCATCGCTGCCCCCTGCCCATTTTCTTCATTACGCCGCATCCCACCCGCTCATTTCGTCCCTCGCTCATATCGTCCCCATCCCACCCGCTGCCGCCGATGCGTTCTTCCCCCGCGCTGCCGCCGCCTCCTGCTCCCCTCCCACCGTCCCTGCGCCACGGTGACCGCATCTGATGAGCGGGACCCCTGGTGACCGCATTGAAGGTATGTGGCCTTACTCCCCCTTTGCACCCAAGTCCCGTGTCCATTAGGGTTTAGGGTTAGGGTTCATGGACGCTGACAAGTCTTCCTCGGTTGATTGTTTCATAGGTTTTTTGATGTAGTGGGAGAGGTGGTGTCAACCCGTGTCACAATGGCTAGCAGCAGTGATTGTCTCACTGTAGGTCTTTCTCTAGCTTCAGAGTCAGCTAAGAAAGGTCTCACTATAGGTCTCATTGGGCCTGACCTTCCATTCACAAATAACTATGGTGTGTGGGAGGATGAATTTAAAGGTATGCTATTATTTGCATTGTTAAAATGCAGAGTGTCTGCATAACATCTTTGTCAGCATAACTTAACATGATACAGGTAGCAAATTTTGGGCATACACAAGACAACCTCCTTCTGCGACCTTTTTGTGATGACAAGTAGCTATATACAGCTAGATACACAAGGCAGGGTGTTGTCTAAGCCTCCAATGCATGTCAATGCGACATTACTTCTAGACTTCCAGTTCTCAAATGAATCAAACAGCACAAGGTTATCTGGACTATAAAGCAAATTATACCAAATTGTGATACAATAGGTATTTTATAATCGCAACAACCAGAGGACAACACAGTTCAAAGTTTCATTGCAAATGGTTCATACATCATGTTCAATTCATTTTCAAACACATTGCTACAAATTAAGTCATTACAACTGATCTGACAACAATTCCAAACAAAACAATTGCAACAACAACAATGAAACAATTCATTTTCCACATCAGGTTCTCCATCTTCTTCTCAAGGTCCTTCTCCTCATGGTTAGCATATTCACTGCCCTCTTATCCTTGTTCTAGTTCCTCGACCTCCTTACAGTTGATAATGACGATCTTCTTATCAATCGGCTCATCTAGGTACTCCTTCTGGAATATGTAGAATGCACACAATTTCGGATTCTGCAAACACCATTTCATGATTGTTAAACTCTAGATTTCAAACAAAGAAAGCAAGAGAGATGGAGACACAGCAAAACTGACCCCATTCCTGGGGCACTTGAAAAAGCTCTGGCCCTTTGTTGGGAGTGTCCTACTTGACGCGAAGCTCGATCACACGGGCCAGATGGCAATTCGGACATTGAATCAAAGGAAGCCCAGTTTCTTTACCGACCGGATACGCCACAGCATGCGTGCGCATGGAGCTCCTGCCTCGTTCCTGCCTCCTCAACGCTTTACTGGCGCTGGACGACTCCACCCTCTGCGACCGGCAATCATTGCTGCTAGCCATTGTGACACGGGTTGACATCACCTCTCCCACTACATCACAAGCCTACGAAACAATCAACCAAGGAAGACTTGTCAGCGTCCATGAACCATAACCCTAAACCCTAATGGACACGAGACCTGGGTGCAAAGGGGGAGTAAGGCCACATACCTTCAATGTAGTCACCAGGGGTCCCGCTCACCAGATGCGGTCACCGTGGCGCAAGGACGGCGGGAGGGGAGCAGGAGGCGGTGGCGGGTGGGATGGGGATGATATGAGCGAGGGACGAAATGAGCGGGTGGGATGCGGCGTAATGAAGAAAATGGGCAGGGGCAGCGATGACATTTTACCCGCGCCTGCTGACTGGGCGCCAGCGTGTCGGGCTGCCGTGGCTTGCCACATGCGCAAATGTGGTAAATTAGAAACTCAAACTTCTCTCATGTGCTAAAGTTGTAGGTGTCATTCTAAGAGTGATAATCGGATGAACGCCAATCATAATAATGGTAAAAATGTAAAAGCCCCCGCTCTCATTGGGCCGGCGCGCCCGTCCCCTTCTCTATCCGATTGGGCCGCCAGGTCTCGCCCTCCCCATCCCCTTTCTCCGCTTCGCTTTT